ATTCCTGGGCTCCCCAGACACTCCAATAGAATGAGATTGGTAGGCAACCAGAGTTGCTGGTGGTGTGAACAGTTAGCACACTCAGCTGCTAATCAAAAGATTTGAATCCAATCAGAGGTGCCTCAGAGAGAACATGTGGACAACTTACTTTAGAAAACTCAACCATTGAAAACATAGTTCTACTCTGACACACACGTTAAGTGCCGCTGAGTTAGTTCCAACTCATAATGACCCTATATGTAGAGTTTCTGAGGAACGACTGGTTGGTGTGAACCACTGATCTTGTGGTTAGCAGTCCAGTGCTTATCATACAGCACCACATGCAGACTGAGGATTAAATGAGATAGATGTCAAGTATGCACTCCAGTGCACTGACATGGTGCCAATCATTCAACCGACCAATCGCTCTACTCGGTGCCAAAGCCTGGAGGCAGAAATGCTCCGCCTTGTGGTACTTCAAAGTCTTAAGTCCAAACAGTAACTATGATAGGTTTCACAAATGTCCAGAGGAGAGTAACAGAAAAGAAGGGCTTCAAGAGGGCAGATCCGGAAACTGTCATCTGTACATACCCATCAAACCAAACCAAACTCGCTCTCATAGTCAATTCCAACTCACAGAGACTCCAAGTGACACAGTAGAATTGCTCCATAGGGTTTTCTTGACTATAATCTTTGTGGAAGCAAGTTTCCAGGCTTTTATTTCAAGATACCTCTGGGTGGGTATGAATTGCCAACCTTTTGGTTAGTTGTTGTTGTTGTTAAGTGCCATCGAATTGATTTCGACTCATAGAGTTTCTGAGGCTGTACATCGTTAAGGACGCAGAAAGCCTTTTTCCCACAGAGCAACTGGTGGCCTCAAACTGTTGACCTTGTGGTTCACAGTCCAGTGCTTATGATATAGAACCACCACACTCCCCTTTTTGTTAGTTGTTATTGTTGTCAGGTGTCATTGAGGTGGTTCGGACTCATAGTGACAACCTTACACACATAGAACAAAGCACTGCCTTGGTCTTACGTCATCCTCACAGTTGCTATAACTTGAATTCGTTGCTGCTGCCACTGCTAATTCATCTCATTGGGGGTCTTCCTCTTTTTTGCTGACCCTCTACTTTACCAAGCAAGATGTCCTTCTCCAGGGACTGGTCTTCTCCTGATAATGTTGTTGTTAAGTGCTGCGGAGTTGATTTGAACTCATAGCGACCCTGTACAGGGTTTCCGAAGAGCAGCTGGTGAGTATGAATCACCAATCTTGGGGTTCAAACAAATCTTGTAGTTCAGTGCTTTCTCCTACAGTACCACCCCAGGACTTCCTCCTGATACCATATCTGAAGTATAAGAGACGAAGTCTTGTCATCCTGCTTTCTAAGGAACATTCTGGCTGTACGTCACTAGAGTTGTTTGTTCTTCTGGCAGCCCATGATACTTTTAATACTTTCTTCCAACATCATAACTCAAATGCATCAATTCTTCCCTGGTCTTCCTTATTCATTGTCCAACTTTCACATGCATATGTGGTTATAGAAAATACCATGGCTTGGATCAGGCGCACCTTAGTCCTCAAATTGACATCTTTGCTCTTGAACACTTTAAAGAGGTCTTGTGCAGCAGATTTTGGTAAGTAGTCAAGTGCAAACTGTTTGTGCCACCCAGGGATTCTACATACCCATCACAAATCTGATCTATGGGATCACAAATTCATAAAAAAAAAAAAGAGCTAAATGCAAATTCACTAAAGCAATGTTTTTCTATCTTTAACTTGTATACAAATCACAAAGAGGGGAGGGAGAAATCTAGTAAAATTGCACACTGGGACTCAACATATCAAGAGTAGGGCTGCATGAGAGTGTGCATTTTAAGGAGCTCCAGGTGAAGCTAATGACTAAGACCACATCTTTGAGCAGTAAAGTACTAAGAAATTTCTTCAATAGCAAGAAACGAATCCCAAGAAAAGAAGCCCTGGTGGCACACTGGTTAAGCACTCAGATGCTGGTGTGTGGTTCAAACTGACCCACTGCTCCACAGGAGAAAGATCCGGCAGTCTGCTTCCATAAAGGTTACAGCCTTGGAAACACTATGGGTTGGTTCTGGTCTGTCCTACAGGGTCACTGTGAGTTGGAATGAACTCAACAGCAACAGGTTTGATCTTTCAGGTTAATCCCAGGAAAGGATGATGTTGTTGTGAAGTGCTGTCGAGTCAATTCCGACTCACAATGACCCTGTATAGGGTTTCAAAGGAACAGCTGGTGAGCTTGAACCACTGACCTTGCAGTTCAAACGACTTTGCACTCTGATGCATTAGCCCACGGCGCCACACCAGGACTCCATATTTTGATTTAAACACAACTTCCCAGATGCACACCTATTAAGGAACCTATGGAGCTACACAAGGTTATCTTGAAGGAAGGCACACCAAGAAGGCTAAACTGGCATGGGCCTGGTTCAAATGAGTCTGCACTGCACAACACACCTGAACTAGGCAAATGAGAGTACTCTTTTGTTGTTGATAAATGCCTTCAAGTCAATTCTGACTTATAGCAACCTTGTATAGGGTTTCCAAGGAGCGGCTGGTGGATTTTGACCCACCAAGCTTATAAGGAGCTCTGGTAGTGTAGTGGTTACGAATTGGACTGCGAACCACAAGGTCAGCAGTTCGAAACTACCAGCTGTTCCATGGGAGAAAGATGAGGCTTTCTGCTCCAGTCAAGATTTACAGCCTCAGAAACCCTGTACAGGGTCACTATGAGTCAGAACCAACTCCATGGCATATAACCACCACCACCAAGCTTGTGGTCAGCAGTCCAGTGCTGATCCTACAGCACCACACCAGGACTTTTTAGTGATTATGAAAAGAGAACACTTTTGACAAAGTTCTTGGACTTTGCACAGTGTAAAAAACAGCATCCTAGGATAGTCATTGCCTCTACAAATCTGAACGTAGCTTCTCCCAAAGCCAAGCTCATTCTATTATATGTTGTTGTTAAGTGTCCTTGAGTCAGTTCTGACCCATAGCGATCCTTCCAAGGAAAAACTGATGAGTCTGAACTGCCAACCTTGTGGTTCAAACTGGCCTTGTGGTTGAATACTTGTCCTATTACATCACATCAGGACTCCCAGTTCATTCTAAAGGCCTTTTTAAAATCCCCGCGTTACCCCACGCCCACCCTCTACATTAAACTGTCATCATTTCTGTTGACTGCTGTAATGATAATAATAATAAACCCTATCAACCTGTACAATACGGATTATTCAGAAGTAGTAAGATTAATGTGACTGTCCGGTAAAGAAGCATCTAATTAATACTGGCTAACTCAAACAATGTGTGCAAGTGGGGAGCAAGGGGGGTCAGTACAAATCTAAAAGGTTTGGATTTATAGGACCAGAAACTACATTCTGGACATTCTTTGGACCAGAAATAATGACACGTAAAATTCCTACTATCCCCTGAATTGGGTTCCTTAGAGCAGACAGTGTGAGGTAATCTGATCTCCAGCTGCTTTTAGCAGGGAAGCACATCTGTCCATCACCAGACACAGGCCAGCCTTACACATTGACTTAGAATAACATGTATGGTTATTACAATCCCTGTCATGACCCTCTTGACTAACTGGGCATAGGCTCAAACTAGAGCCATTATCAGCCAACCTATAAAGAAGAGAATAACTGAGCTGCCCAGAAACTGAGTGTGCCCCACCTGCTCAGGCAGAAAGGGATTCCCTCAGGTCCACATACCCACTAAGGACGAGGCTACTGAGGAGAAACGTGCACTAAAGAAATGCCAGAGCGGACTGCCACCTATGTCCAGCATGATGGATAATTCACTGGTACAGTTAACCGACACCTCCCCAAATCCACACCGGGCCCTTAGCCTGTGCGCACTCAGGCAGCGATATCACGGACACCAGGATTTCATTCATTGGGGAAGAAATCAGATCAAGAAGAAACTTCTGGAAGATCTTTGCTTATTCCCCACTTATCTCTTGGGGCAGGAAGTTCAGGTTTTCCAGTACTCCACTTTCTAACTTAGGCGGAAACCTGCGCTGAGGAAGGTTTAACAGAAAATACTCCTCCTCCTTTCCGTCTGATGAACGCAAAATTTTGGAATGGTCCCAAGAGGTTAAAAAATGGAGCCCAGGTGGAGCCCAAGCAATAACTTACTTCTTTGGTGGCTGTATTAACAAGGGGAGATACTCCCAAGTAAAGGGCCTGCCTATACCTCCTCCCAACTGCTGTACACAAACCTAGCCCCCAAAGTCTTGCAGAAACAGTGACAGGCTCTAGTTAGTTCACGAAAACTAACCAAATGTCCAACATTTCATGATTTGGTTAAAATCATAATTCCCGCAAGGAAGCTAAACTAGCAACCACAAGCTTTTAACTAACTCCAGAAGATGCATTTTTCTCCCTCCCTGTCCCCTTCCCCCCAGGGCCTGGTTCATAAGAACGTAAGGTGGGCTACTTCTTCAGAAAGGAAAAGTAAAACGCCAATTCGTACTGGGCCCCAAGAACTCTTGAGCGCTGAAGCAAGAACTCGGGAAGGGTTCGGGAAGCGCCTATGACACAAGTTTAGACTCACGCGCACTTACAGCTGAGGGCCGGACCCGCGGAAGGGGCTCCACAAGTCAACTCTGCCCGCACTTACGCCCGCAAAGAGTCGCACGCCATGGGGACGGTGCGTCTCCGGGTCTGCCCCGGGTTCCAGGAGGTTCGCCATCCCCTCAAAAGAGATGAAAAGTTTGGGTGCTGTTTACCTGGGCTCCCGCACTTCCCGGTCCCGACCCCCACTGCAGGAGCTTGGCGCTCCAGTTCTGCGGTGTGGGATTTGCACACACGTGTGATCACACATTCCCCGAGGATTCCCCCTCTTTTGCGTATCCTCGTGGTTTGGAACGACGGACAGAAACCAGGAATCCTGCAGGGCGCGGGGAATTAGGAGCAACCGGCGTCCTACAGCAAAAGAAGCCGACGGGAGGTTGGGCGCGCGTCCCGTCCTGGATACTCACCGGGACCTCTGCAACTGCTCGAAGGCGCTGGTGCTGGCCCCCTGACCCGGCTGCTCTAGCGCGCAGTAGTTCTGCGAGGTCGGTCTGGAGAAGGCGATGGGCAGGATTCCCTGAGTGAACGAGTTGAGGCGCCCCCGACTGCCACTCCCGGTCCCGGGGGTCCCGGAAACTAAGAAGGCGGCCGCAGGCACCTGCACGCTCGTAAAGGCATCATCCTCTTCTAACTCCTCCAGCTCGGCGCCCCCCTGCCCGTCGTGCAGCTGAGGCTGCTCACCTGACGCCCGACCCGCGCCCAGAGGGCTGGCGAACCCCCGGGCAGCTGCGGGGCCGGGCACGGTCGGGTGGCCCCACGAGGGCAAGGGCGGCAAAGGCGAGTGCTGCGGGACACAGGGGCCGGATCCTGCTGTCAGCGCCGCCGCAAGCGCAGTGCAGCCACCGCGATCGGCAGCGACTAGCATGCCGAGGCGGGTCCTCGCGCCGCAGGCGCTGCCGCCACCCGCCTTCACCGCGCTGCTCTCCTCGCCGCTGCCCCACTCCTCGTCCTGCAGCGGCGGCCTGCCGTCTAGAGAAATGTTGGTGAGGAAGGAGAGGGCAGCCTGGCGCCGCCGAGGGTCCATGCGCGACTTCCTGGGGGGCTCGAGTGGTGGCAGCTGGGCCGGCGCGGTGACCGCGGGCTGGGGCTGCGGCGCCGGCGGCAGCTGCTGCAATCCACTGCCGCTGCTGTCCGCGGCGTCGGTGCCAGTGCTGCCGCTACTGCTACTGCAGGCGGCCGTGCCGGGGGTGGCTGCAGTCGCCGCCATTGTGTCCGTCTGCGGCGATATTTCGGCGGTGCCCCAAAGCGAGAGGCGCCCGAGTGCTAAGCGGCGGGCGCGAGCGGCGGCGACCCGGGCTGAGCAGGGCGCGGAGCGCGGGCGGCGTG